GTCCTCCATGTCACACATCTTCCAAAGGCTGGGGTTGTGTTTTACTCTATAAAGGTATTAGAAACTAAATTGCTCTTTGAACACAATGGTGCTGCCCATGCAATTCTCCTTGCAGGTCTTAGGAATTGCCTTGTTATCCACATCAGTCCTTCCCTGGATCAACCAACAGCACAAACCTCATTAAATCCCACACTCACTGTTGCATGCCTACAGCCCTGGGAGACTCAGGGAAGAGAAAATCCAACTGTCAACACATTTGGGCTCAGAAAGAGGAAATCAGAATGAAGAATTAAAAATGGCAGATTTTTGCAGTGCCACTGTTTTGGTCCTGGGTCTAGAGCAAAGCTGATCAGATTTCCAGACGCACCAGTGGAATGAGGATCAGTAGTTTGCTGACCAACTTCTCATCAGGGAAACAAAGGGATGGCAGCAAGTCAGGGACTTGCCCTAAGTGAGCCCAGAGGGGCTAGATCCTCAGCTTTGACTGCAGTTCCATGGAAAACAAGATAGCAATGGAATATGTGACCTTCCAGCATCCTCAAGGTCCTTCCTGCCTGATGGAGGAAGCAGCAGTGGGGCTCTTCTGTCCAGCAGTGACTACACACAGGGCTGTGTTTTCCCACTCACATCCTTTAGTTAGAAGTCAATGTGAAAGGCAATTTCAAGCTTTGGGATGTTGAAAGTCTCAAAAAAAAGGAATTTTCAAGTATGGGGACCATGTATGGATTTTAGCTGATGCCTGAATACTTTAGGGGTTGTATTTTGGGATGTTCCTTATGCTGCTGAATCACAGCCCAGACACTGAGGTTTGAGAACTGCTGGTTTAGGGAGATGGTTTCAGACACTGAGGTAGAAGGTTGGGAGGCACAGCAGGCACTTGGTTGGTTACTGGGATCAGCTGACACTCTCCAGTTTGTTAAATCAGGTAATCTGACCTTAAATCCAAGCCTGTAGACGCAACCATGGAAAGGGCACTTCCAGGAATAGGCCATTTATCCTGTCACTGTGCACGGAATTACAGTAAGATAATAACTCTGGGATGTGGTTTATTTCCCTCTGGTTGCTGTGCCTTCTGGATGCTCAAAAGAAGGCTTTTCTTGCCTTTTTTGTTTCAATTTTAGTTTATTTTTATTTTTAATCCTAACATTGGCATTCCCTTACTTGCTGACTCCAGTTTTAAAATGGGGAAAACAAACGGAAATATATTAGTGCTGCCTTTGTGGGAAAGGTGCCTGCCAACATCTCAGCCCTGCTCTGTTCATAGCATCCAACTTTTACCTTCTGTCCCTGTGAGATGCTGGGACTGACCAGATGATGTGGATGCTGTTCCCTGACTCATCCTTACGGGCTAAAGTACCAAAACCAGCACATCAGCTACAAAACCCAGCCCCTGCTCCAGCACATTGTTAGTACCCCTAATAAACCTTGTGCCACTGGAAATCCCAGGTGCCCTGTGTAAGCAAGCATAGGAATCAGCCTAGCAGCCATCCCCTGACTCGTTTGCACCTAAAAGCAGGCAAAAAATAAAATATCTTTAGTGGATACCATTCCTTGGAAGGTCACTTGTACTTCAGATCACCTCAGCCTGGTGTCACATTCAAAACTTGCCAGCAGATTTGGGAAAATCAAAGCTCAAAGAACAGCTCCAGTCAAGGACCCTTTATTCCATGGGGTTTCCAGGCAGGGCTTATGCAGTTGACATAGGGATCATGTTTTTTTTTCTTTAGGAAAGAATTTCAGGGAGGAAGACTGGTGGGTACTGAAAGCAGCTTTGTGTCCTGTCACTAAGTTTCAAGCAGGTCACCTGGGTACCTAAAAAACTCCAAACAAACAGGATCCTATTGCATCCTTCTGATCCCAGGGATAGTTAAGAGTGGCTGATGCTGAGGGCTGTCTGCTGCTCCACTGGGTCACAGCTGCAGCCCCTGGGTAAATCTCCCTTTCCAGCCAGGAACGACCCTTTTAGAGCACAGCTCATCTCACCCCAAAGGAGTCAGCTGCAATAAGTAAACAAAATTCCTACAAACCCATCTTGTAGGCTGCTGCCTCCTTCAAGGGCATTAAACTTTTTCCAGTCATGTGTGAGACCCCTGCCTTGGCCAAGGGCTGGGGGAGAGGAGCAGGAAAGCTCTACTCAGCCAGGCAGGAGGATTTGGGAAGTCACAATGTCCTGGTGACCCTGTGTAAGTTTTTTCCTTATGCCCCATGTGATGCTTTTCAAAATTGCCAGTAAAATCATGGTTTCCTTTAATTCCATTGCTTTCTTTAATTCCAGAGGTGGAAAGTGGGGTTCTGTACAACCCCTCAGTGCATTTATAGCCACCATTCCCTTAAGTATCCTCAAAGCAGGGAAAGCTTTCCTCATGGCTTCTGTGTGACCAGAGATGTCCTATCAGGTCTAAGTGGGAAGGAATGTCCATCTCCTCCTCACCTGATCTATACCTCTCCAGGTAAATTAAAATAATGCATTTTACTCCTGCTGACTGTCTAGATGCTTCCTCTTGGTCTAGAAGCATGGAAAATTGGGGGTTTGGCATAGACTGTTATGGGTAGCATCCCCAAAGTACTCATCAGCAATTTGGGATTAAGTAGTCCCTGGCATTTTTGTCAGGAAAACAGGCAGATGTTATCAGATAGTCTCTCTGTCACTTCCCGTTCACTGTTTGTGAACCAAGGGATAATTTCCAGCTTTGGAACCTTTTCATTCCCAATGAGTTGAAGCTGACATGGTTTGTGCCAACAGGCAGCCAAGTATAGAGGGGAGGGAGAGAGAGAGAGAAGGGGAAATTTATTATTTCTGGGACACAAGAACCCATCCAAGGGTTCAGCCTGAACTCTTACAACCAGAGGAGACCAGGTCACGTATGGGATCACTCACTCCTCTAATGAGGGGCTTCCCAAGGAGCACGGGTGTTACCTACCCCAGGACCTGCACCCACTGTGTCACCCCAAACTGGTTTGAGCAGGGGATAAATCCCACAGCAGAACTTCTCTGGCTTAAACTGAGCCCTCCCCATCATCCTTGCCCTGCATGGACAAGACAACAGAGGCACAGGGAGTCACTGGCAGTGGGTTGAAGTCTGGTGGTTCCAAGTGATGAAAAACACGAGTGTGCACCTGTGGGTGTTGGTGTTGTGAGCCACTCACAGCCAGAGCCTGCCTCCAGCACATCAGGCTTCAAATTCTGCTTTTGTTTTTGTGGAAAGCAGCCTGTCCCTGTCCAGGCAAGAGCAGGGATAGAAGCCAAGCCAGGCTGCAGGTACTGAGGGGACAGGAAAGAGCAGCTGTGGGAAGCAGCAAGAGTCCAGCCCAGACCATCTGCTGCTGGTGGATTAATCTCTAACCTGTGCTCTTAGCTGGCCAAGGGAAACTTGTTAGGCTGAATTTGTATCTCTAGCTTCAGGTTACAGCCTGGCATGTTAAAATAAACCATCCCTGACTTCGTGTCAGCTTAAAAAGCTGGGCTGTGGGTTAGAGATGTAGAAGGAATTGTGGAAGGAGCTGTTTGTGATCACCAGGGAGAGGAGGAGGAGACAGCTCCATGCTGCCAACAGCTTGAGCATGGCCAGAGCACCTCCTTGAGAAAAAAGAAAGGATCAGAGCCCCAGGATAAAGGAGTGTCTGAAAAGAGCCTTGGCCCCATGAGAAAAGGCTCTCTTCTGCTCTGGGATCAAGCGTTGTGTTCTCTGAAGGAGCAAATTTGAAACAATTTTTATTCTCTTGCTACTATTGTTTCTCATTACCACTGTTTGTCTTGTGTTCTTTTGTGAAGCGTCCTCTGCCAGACGAGTAGCAATCATGAAAACTTGGAAGTATTGTGGAGGAAGGAGGATTTTTTTTTTTTATTTCCTTTTTAAAAATGTGAAATTAAAAAAAAAAAAAAATCAGATGTTTTCCCTGCTAGTGAAAAGTAAGGTGAGAAAGAGGAATGTATGGGGAAAAAAGCTGTCTCACAGCTTTGTTGAATGCTGGAGAAGGAAGAGATGGATGAAAAGCACTAATAAAAAGCAAAGTTTGAGGAGTGGACTTGAAGACTGCCTTACTGCTTATCTGATTCCCCACAAAGGGGCCGGGCTGTCTTGCAGGACGGTTTCAGGTAACATCAGCCCGAGCCTCCTGACTCATCCCTGTGTGGGTTTTGGATGTGCTGGAGCTGAGCTGAACCTGCCAGGCTCTTACAGTTTGCTTTTGCACACATGGAGGAGAAGCTGGGCTGCTTGGACCGAGCGTTACAAAGCCTCTTTCTAGGAAAGGAGCTTTGCGTAACAGAAGGGAAAATAGGTCGTTGTCAAGGTTTAGGGCATCTGCAGAAGAAAGTAAACAAGTGGTGCAGCGTGGCCGGGCTAGAGGGGAGAGCAGGATCTGCTCCTGCTCCAGACAAGGCTGTGCTTTGAAGGAGGGCTTGGCTGGGAGTAAAGACAGCCTCCTGTTTACAGCAGTGGGATTCGGGTTCTCCACGTGATCCTTGGCAAAGCATCCCATGCCTGGGCTGAGTCTGGGTGCAGGGAGGAATCAGCTCCCCACAGCACCCCAGGTTTTGGGTGCCAGGCTCTGTTGGGCACGACACACAGCAAACAGGGCCTCGGAATCGCTGTGGAGCTGCTGCGGGAGGGGGAGGCTCCCCGAGGCAGAAAACCATGGCAAAGCAGAGCCAGGCAAAGCCAGAGCACAGCCTGCCCAGGGACACAGAGAAAGAAACAAAAAACAAGGCAAAAAAACCCCCAAAAAACCAAAAACCACCAAAACAACCACCAGCCTCCTGCAAAAGCACCGCAAAGTCCTTACAAACGGCCTGGGGCATCGTCCAAGCGAAATGCCAGGGGAGATTTTGGGAAGACATCCAGCTGACACAGAACCACAGCACGTTACCTTCCCGAGGGCCGGGGGAGAGGCCGGGCACCCACCCGGGCAGCAGCGGCCGGCTCTGTGCTGGCAGCCCGGGCTGTGGGCGAGCCCTCCCCGCCGGGGTACAGCCTGTGCCGGAGCTGCGGCAGCCGGGGGGCTCCGCGGAACATCTGCCAGCTGCCCGGCCCCCGCCGCCAGCCCGCCAGGACATCTTGTTTGTGTTTTTGTGCGGAGCACACTCCCAGCGGGTTATGTCAGAGGTGAGGAATGCAGGGCCACCCTGTGTCATGAGATCAGACTCGCATTTTTAGGCCGAGCTCTTACCGTATTTGCTGGGAAGCGGCGCGGGGGCCCCGCAGGGGTGGGAGATCCCCCTTCGCCCGCATCCCGCTTTTCCAGCCCTCGCTCCAGCGGAGCCGGGTGGGGCGGATGGGGCCCGTCTGCTGGAACAAGCTCTCCCTCTGTTCCTCGCAAGGAGCAAGAAAGGAAACGCAGTGAATTAAGGCGAATGAAAAGGCGGCAGTGAAAGGCGGCCGGGAGCGGTGCCAAGCGCAAGGCGAGCGCGGGGAGAGAGCTGGTGGCGGGCTGCTCTCTGCCGCCGGGGAAGGCATCGGCACCCGGGGCTGCCCCACCGGGAAACTCACCCAGACACCCCCAAAACATCCCCCTGCCAGGGGCTGAAAGCGTGAGGAGCGACATGAACCCCCAGGCCAGCGAGGAGGCTGGGCTTGGAGCCCCTGGAGTGAGAGCATTTGACCCAAACACCGCCCAGAGCAGCGGCTTTCCCCCAGTTCTGTTGCTGGGATCCAACCCTTACATCCCACCTTTCTGAAATTTAGAGGCTGCTTGGTCCAAGTCCTGCTCTAAGAACGCTGGTGCAAAACAGCTCTGCTGATGTCACACAGAGTGGCTGCACTGCCTGTTCCCAAGTTTTCCTGCTTAAAACTTGGAGGCTCCTTTGCAGCTCTGCATCTCACCAAGGGTGGAAGTTGGGGAGACACTGATCCTGGTGCCAGTGTGGAGAAAATCCACCGAGGCAGGGTCAGACCCTGGCACAAGAAAGGCTTCTCTTCTCTGCTCTAGTGTGGCTTTTATTTCCTTTTATTTCCTTCTTTTTCCCCCTTTTTAAAAATTTTTCTGAAATAGCTACAACAGTAGATCTTGAGATCGAAAAGCCCAAAAATGAAGATAAACACTTCCACAGGCCACGTCCCAATGCCACTGCTTGATATTTTTGGTTTGTTTGATTTGGTTTTTTTGGTGGTTGTTTTTGTTGTTGTTGTTTTTGTTGTTCTGTTTTGCCCTGCTGAGGATTTTGACATGGTGTTTTGTTCTGTGTCAGAAGGAAAACAAACCCTGAAATACCAAAGTCTTTCACACAATGGTCTTTCCTTTCTCTAAACACCCCTGTGAGCTGGGCCTCTTGTAGCTCTCGACTCTTCCCAGAACAGGAGAACAAATACTAGGAAATCTGGAGGGGTGAAATACACGGATGAGCTGCAGGGAGCTGGCAGCACCAGCTCCACATGATTCCATGTCTCCAGTGCTGCCTGCTCCTCACCTCAGGGAGGCAGGTGAAACCTCCAGTAAGTGCTGATGGCTCCTGTCCTCCTGGGAGTTTTCTGCTGAGCACCTCAGTCTCCTTTCGCTGTCCTTGTGAGACGGAACAGGATAATTTTAAGTCCTCATCTCTTATTCTCTGGCATCTGCTGTTTTGTTGTGTCACTCCCGCACTTTTATGGTCCCAAAATTCTGCTTGGGAGATTCTCCCTTTTGTGGCATGAAAATGAAAATGGTGATTTTAGGTCCTCTCTAGACTTGTGGTGCTGTGGAGGCACCAGAGGAAATGAGGTCTTGAGGAAATGAGAGAGGTGACCAGCAGGCACAGAAGGGACTAGCAGACAGCTCCAGAGGGATCTTCAGACCCAGACCCCTCCCCTTTTCACCCACCAAACACAGAGGTGATGTGTTGACAGCAAGGGGCTGGTTGCTGCCTCGTAAAAATGAGGAGGGAGAAGCAATGGTGTGGGAAAATTAGGCTTGTTTAATGACTTAGGACATTATCTTCTCTTTCTTCCCACTCTCTTTGTCTGCCTTGCCCTTCATAAAGTTGTGCTTTGATAAGATTTTCTTTTTTATCATCTGGGGTGGAGATTTTGGTTCATTTTCCACAGACTGAAAAAGGAAGAAAATGGGGCTTCATGCAGCATTTAGCAACAGCTGTGGACACTGAACCAGGACCAGGTAAGACCTGGAGAAGGGGTTGCAGGTCCACCTTGGCTGATCCAGAAGACTTCAAATGACATGAAATAAGGATCTTGGCTTTCATTAGATTTTTCAGCTGCCTTTAAGAAATAGAAATCTTCAGCAGCAATGTTTATATATATTTATATATACATATATATTTAGATTTTATACAAGTTCAGTTCTACTGCAGTGAACTCGTTCACTTCTGCTATGCTCCTTCCGTTTTGGGGGAAAAACAATGACATTGCTTAGCAACCTTTAAACCATTTTTAGAGAGCACAATAATGTGGGAAGGATGAAGTTGATGTCTGTTACCTTGCCCCAGGTTACTTGATCTCCCAAATATTAACTCATCTAACCTTATTATTTGCTTCTAATCACTATTGTTTTCTGAATTGCAGTTGAGCATCCTGAAATCATAGAATATCTCAGGTTGGAAGGGTCCCAGAAGGATCCTAGAATGGTTTGGGTTGGAAAGACGTCAAAGATCTTTGTGTTCCAACCCCCTTCCAAGGGCAGGGACACCTTTCACCATCCCAGGTTCCTCCAAACTCTGTCCAGCTTGGCCTTGGCCACTTCCAGGGATCCAGGGGCAGCCACAGCTGCTCTGGGCACCCTGTGCCAGGGCCTCAGCACCCTAAAAGTGAAAAATAAAAAGGATCAACAAGTCCAACTCCCTGCTCCTTGCAGGACTGCTATAAATGTGCACTGCTTGACTTTAATGTTGGGGTTTCACTGCCTCTGCAGCGTGGCAGAGCACCAGGCTCTCTGGGGAGATCCAACAATACAAGGCAGCGAAATCTCCATCCGACCCAGGCAAGCAGCTGCTTTGCCTTGCTGCAGCCCAGCAGTGGGATATGTTGTGCCTGCCAAAGCAGATACTGAAGGTTCTTTCTTTCCTAATTGTCACTTTTTCTGTGACTGCTTCGAACACAGAACCAAGGAGCATGGAAAGAACAGTGCTTCCCCTGTCATGGATGGGGTGGGAAAGGCAGGAAAAAAAGACTGAAAGAAGAATGTGAAAGGCACCACAACATTCAGAGGCTTGACTCTGATTTGCTTGAAACAGTGTAAACAAGCAGGTTACAAAACTTGGAGCTGTGACTGGTGCTGGCACCAGAAAAACAAGGAAAACATGTTTTAGACCAATTATACTGCAGAAGATATATGAGATTTTCAAGATACCTAAAGCCATCAGCATCAGGAAGTGCAGTAGTTTGAGTTTTAGGGCCAGATGTAAACACCAGGGCTACAAGAACCAAATACTTAACCTGATATAAAGTGACTGTTGTATTGTTTCTAAAGATTTTGCACTGTTTGAAAGATTACCTACCATAAGATCTCTCTGCTGCTCTTCTAACCTCCCTGCTGGGATGTCCTGCAGCTGGCCCAGGCTCATCTTCCCCAAGTTCTTTATCCATCTTTCTTCTCTTCCTGCTCCAAATCTCAAAATAGCTGTGGAATTCTGTGCAAACTGTCTTGAGTTTGCCCTTTTCTGCTGGATACTCACCCAACCTTTCCTGACCTATGGCCGTATTTCCCCACTCTTTGTAACATCCATAATAATGCTCTCTGCTCATAATAAGGGCAGGACTGCCCTGGCTTATGCTCCTGCCTATGAAACTCACTGAAAGAGCATCCCACATACTGGACTCATGAGCAACTCAACTCACCTACACAAAGAACAATGAGGCAGAGCTGGTAGGTCTGAGCAAAGGGCCCAGGTCAGTCCCTGTGGAGAAATAGGACAGGACTTGCAGGAAGATCTTGTTCCTTGATGTTCTCCAAGTTCCCATTGGAAGCCAGGCAGAGCTTCCTGATTTTCATGGATTCAGCTCTCTGTCCCTCCAGGCCACCTCTCCACTGGTCCATTTCCATCTGGTGTCTCCCCATCCCATGACTGAAGAGGCTGTCCTGCTTCCTGATTCATCCTTCCTGGTTCCTACAGACCAGGGAGACAGCCACAGACACCCATGATGGTTTTGGTTCTCCAGAGCTGTGGTTCATTGCTCCAGCCCTTTATGCTCTTACATCCTTTAGGGGAAAAAATCAACAATCAGTACAATGGTGCACCTTCCTTTACTAACCCAGCACACACTTCAGCTGCCCTACCTTTCCCAGGAGGGTGGATAGCTGGGAGATGGGAAGGCACCTGAGAAGTGATGAGTGGTGCTCCTGCTCCAGCAGGAAGTTTCAGGCAGCCTCAGCATGGTGATTTCATCCCCTTCAGCAGGCCCCTTGCCAGACACATCCTGTCCAGCTTGTGCTGGACAGACTGGCCATGAGAGGAGTCAGTGGCAGCCAACTCCAAATGGCCAAGACCAGCCTCTTTCCAGTGCTCGGGAGCTGATTCATGGTTTGGTTTTCTGCCCCACCCAGTCTAGAGTGAGTTCAGCACATCCCTCTGAGCTTCACTTTCCTGCTTTCAAGTCTCTCCCTCCTTCAGAGATCTTCCCACATTCATGGCCCAACCCTGCTGCCACCAACTCTCTCTCTTTTCCTGGACTGGACACCAAGGCAGCAGCCAGGAGCTTGCTGGCTTTGATTCATACTCCTCTAGGAAAAAAGCTGCTGATTCTGCTGGTGATTCTTCCTCTTGACTGTCTGGCCCAGCACAAAACCTTGGTGTTCTTCTCCACCCCTGTCTTGGGGGAAAAGGCCACTTCTGAGGGCCACTGTCCCTACAGGGCACTGCTGAACTTGGAATGTGGGAAGTGGAGCTGTGGGAAAAAACACAGCTTTGGGAGCATGGGAACACATTCCTATCCCATCAGCTTTGTGCCACCAGGCAACGCTCAAGTTTGGTGTGTGTTAAAAATCAAAACCTGATGGTTTCCCCCAGGAATCAGGCTCCTGAATGACGTAAGCATTTGTTGTCTCTCTCCTTAAATAACTACAGAGCAGAGCCAAATGGGTTTTCTCTCCAACAGATGGGCTGCTGACAGGTGCTGCTGGGGGCTGAGAGATGGAAAATCCGGACGCTCTGATATGGTCTGTCACTAGCTTGAAGAGAAAAAAAGCAGGTGAGATTTGGTCTTCTTCTTCTGCCACGTTATTCAGATGCTGTAGAAGTATAAAACCACAATAGTATTGTGTTAGGAAAATACTATTACCTCGTCTCAAAGGCAGGGGAATGGAATAAGTCCTAAAGATGGAAGACTGGGATATGTCCTTTGGGACAAGGAGGATCTGCTTCCATAACACAGGTCCCAGAATAAGCAGGGTTCTGTCAGAATGGCATTGTGTAAAATAACAGAAAACAAAAGCCTTTCTTTGTCCCTAAATAAGTAATTTCTGTTCTTCCTTTGTGGTTCACTCTTAAAGGCTAGCTGAATCCAAGGAGGATGTGGTCACACTCGTTGGAAACTCCAGATGCTACAATGTAAAAACACAAATCTGCATTAAACCGACATTTTTTATGAGTTAAATCTCATGTGCTTTCACTCTATTTTTCTCACAGGGTGATGGCAGGCTGCTGCAGTTTTCATGTCCCTTGGAGAGCATTTGCCCAGTTCCTCAGAAATCTCCCCCTTGATTTTTTTGACAGGATAAAGTCTTTTGTTATTTACTGATGTCACTGTAGCCTAGGAGAGAAATCAACAGAATCATGAATTATAGACTATCCTTGTAGAACTTTTCACTCTGTTTGATTTAGTGTGAACAAATTCCAGATAATTAGAGATGAGTTCAAGTTACAACACTTCACTTCTGTCTTCTGAGTTGCCCTAAGTAGTGAGGAGTGTCTGGGTTGAGTCACAGGGGTCATTGGGAAGGTGAGATCCTTCTGTGTGTAGGTGTCAGTTTTGAAGAATCTTAATTCTATAGCAATGCATCTGTGTATCTACTCAGGAAACACATCAGACTTTCAAAAAAACCCTCAGAATCCCCAGCATAAAAACATTACATGGTGTTGTGTGGGTTTTCTTCAGTTTTAGCTGTGGCATCCTCCAAGTGGTTCTTTACTTGCAGGTCATTTCCATCCCAGCTACTACCTCCTGCTGCTGAGCACTTGAGGGATAAGGAAAGAATCATCTTGGCCTGGGTTTTTGAGATCTGGGACTGCTGGACATAAAATGTACCATTTCTGCAAAGCTTTCCACCAGCATCCTCATTTTGTGCGTAGAAAAGCAACTCCAGCCTTCCATTCAAATGAAAAAACCAAAAACCAAAACAAAAACCCAAACAACCAAAAATGGAAGGGGTATAGGAAGAGGCTAGGGTCTTGCTTTCTCCTTGATCAACAAAACCCTTTTCTCAAAGCAAAACTAAAGTTGCTTCATCATGATATTGGAAGATGATGTACAGTGCTCTGGTACAACAACGAGGGTGGGGTGTCCCTGAGCACACAGCCACCCCGGGGCACAATTAGGAGAGTTAACGGGACTTTTCCATCTGAATGCTCCATTTATTATAAATAGCCACCATTTTAATCATAACTCACTGCCTGCTGGAAGTCCTTTGGTAGTGCCATTGTCATCTGTGGACACTGGAGTCTGGGGAGGAGAAGGATGTGTTTGTTATTTGATGGACTCTTTCATGAGGGCTGTACTCAGTTCTCTCCATGTGCACAAAACACCACAATTTGGAAAGCCTGGGTGGTCTTTGGCAAGGTGCTCTTCATACACCCAACTACATCACCAAACACCTTAAGATAGTCAAGGTATAGGTGATGCACTCCTGCCTACCCTTGGAGTTTATAGCTTTTACTGTTGGTTAAAAATCTGAAAAAGTTAGGCCAATATGTGGACATTGGGCCTGGAGGATGCCTCAGCTCAGGTGTTGATAGTTTAGCTCATGATTTTTAACTTCTGGACATCACAGGGACAACGACTTGGTTTGCTTGCAGTCTGATGAACCCCATGGTTTCCAGCCAAGCACTTGACCCAGAGAATCAAACCAATAGCTGTGTGACTCACAAGGAAAAATCAGCAACAGGAGCAATAAAAATCCTTGGAAAGACGAGTGGACTCCATTGCCCTGTAAAACACCACAATGGCACAGTCAGTTATGAAGCAGCACTTTTACCAGCTGGGAGAAAAGGAGGCATGGACCTCCTTTGGATGTGAAAGTAAAACTCTGCTTATTTCTAACTCTTCAGAAGATGGGACAAGGATGGCATCAAGAAACTAAAACCAGACAAGGAACAGAAGGAATATTTAAGGAAAAACATTGCAGCATCTGGCAAAATATTTTCTCTTTATATCCTTCCTTGGGGTAATGGTTATTCACCACCTGAATGTCATTGGTGGTTGTGACTCCTCAGGATGTAAATCACAGAATCACAGGGTGATTTGGGTTGAGAGGGACCATAAAGATCATCCAGTTCCAACTCCCCCATGCATAAGAAGAGCAGCTGTACTGCACATGTGATGGGCTGAAGGGACAACTCAGTCCCTGGGGTAGTGTCTGGTGAAGGGTGGCTTTGATGAGGCTTACAGGAAAGCCACTCATGGTGGAGAGAAGCACTTGGGGTCCCAGCTGGTTCATGTTTTACATGCAGTCATAAAAAAATCAAACAATCATTTAGCGTGCAATAAGCGGATGCAGGAAGGTTTTTTTAAACCAGAGTCATAGCAGGTCGTGGCCAGTACTGATTCCTTGCTGTTATGGTCAGAGGTCCCCTCTGATGCATGGGGGGACTCTCCTATCCTGTGCTGATGTGACCTGGAAACCCCTGTTGTCTTGGAGTTCCCCTGGCTCCAGGCCCATGCAGGGGGATGAAGGCACTGACTGGTGTTCAACATCCTGTCCCACCAGAGACTGGATGGAAAATACTGATTTCCTTTCAGAGGAGATTCAGAGATGCGTTTATTGAGGACTTGTTTCTCCTTGGAGCCAAAGGGATTGGAAAGACAAAGCCCCTTTCCCTGTCATGTTGAAGGCTCCAGGCATGGAGCAAGAAGGTAACACAAGGCTCAGTAACATGCAAGATCTTGGTTTCCTACACCAAACCACAGTGCAGACTCCTGGCTTCTTTGTCAGCCACCATGGAGCCAGCAAACATTAAATTAAGTGCTGTCCCCACCAAGGTACTAACAGTCCCAAGGTGACATCTCTTGTTGCTCCTTCTACAAAATGCCACACCCTCTCTGGGGGTGTTTTCAAGCTAAGGTGATCTTTCAAGCTTCATGGCTGGGAAGAAGCCCCCTGGGATCAGATGCACAGGCAGAAGAAAACATGACAAAGGAGGCACGGGGTGTTTGACCTGGTGACAGCTGTAATTGGCTCAGATTTGTTTGGCTCGTGGATATTCACTGGTGCTGTTGGAGGTGGGATGTAAGAGCACCACCAGCCCTGAGGTGCCACATTTTTCTGCACATGGATGCAGTGACTGCCCTTTTGAAGGAGGTTATTAATCTTTGCCATGTCATTGCTTTGAGCGATGGAGCAGTGAAAGATCCATTCTGCAGCACCTAGAGAGAAAGCCCAAAGACCTGGCTCCTCAGAGAACAACCCATACCCACCCACTTGGAGGACAGAGACTCCTCTCTAGAATTTCACAGCCACTTTGGGAACTTGGGAACTTTGAGGTTGAAAGCCCCTCCATGGCAAATACCTGGAGGAACACTTCATCTTCCATGGCTGTAAGAATTTGTCTTAACTAAAGATTTTCAATTAAAAGTCAAGACTGAATTGCTGCAAAGTGCCAGAGATAAGAGTCATTAATACTGGAATGCAAGTTTTAAATAATTTTTAATATGCTCTGCAAGACATCCATAAAAGGCCCTTAATCAATATGCTCTTCAATTCCTTGCATTAGGGTTTGAGGAATTTAAATTCATGGCAGGGGAAGGGTCGGGAAATCATAATGAATTTCCATTAGAGCTCTTAACACAGCCAGACCTGGGAGATCATCAGGGTGCAAGCTGTGGGGAGGGTGTGACCAAATGGATCAGACATTTTTGGTGGTCCCAGTCCATGGAGAATGGGTGTTGTGGCTTGTCATTGATATGTAAGCAAATTTTTGAGTCCCTGTTGGTGACAGCAGCTGTGATTTTGCTTGGCCATTTCAGCCAGTATCAAATATTCACTGGCACTACTGTCAGTTTAAGCATTACCTGACCTTCCCCTGGTGAGAAGAGCAGAGAGGATGAGGATGGGCTGAGCTGTGGACAACAGGACTGCAGGTGCTCATGCCTTGGGACCCCAAACGTGCAGCATTCCTATGCCCTCACAGATTTGATAACTCTCTTCCTGCACACGTACAGGGTTAGTTTTTTGGTTGGTGCACAAGCAAAGCAGGCTGATACTCCTTCTTCCCACTGCCATCGTCTCACAGCAGGAGCATGGAGAAGCATGAGCTTTTCCAAGGTGAGGAGGACCAGGACAATCCAACCCATCCAAGAGGACACTGTGACAATGCAGGTTTGAAGCTAAGCCTGTGCTTAAGCATTTGGCTGGATCCAGGCCAGAGGTGCAGAAAAGAAATTTCCAGTAAGGACAAAACTCTAGGAAGAACCAAACCCTAGAGGAAGCTCAGGGTGAGGTTTGTGCTTCCTATTTCAGTCTAAAAAAAGCCCTGTCCCAGGAGGGGGTGAGTTTCAGTAACATCCAGAAGGTCTCCCACACGCACACGCCAAATATTCCAATCCTTCGTACCCAGCACAGGGGTGATGATAGTAAAGCACATGGAAATTCCACATGCAGATGGACCCTCAGAACATCCTTCCCTGCAGGTAGCCCAGGGACAGAGCAGCATCACCCTTGGAATGGCTCACGGGAGGAGGGACACACTAAAATTAGAGGTGGTTGTTGCAGCCAGCTTGACCCCCAGAGATGATGACAGGGCCTAGGGATTTATCCTGTGGTGGTTATCTGCTTGCTCTGTGCCATGGGTTTGGATGAGGGCCAGGTATTTGTCTCACCATTTTTCCTTGGGAGAAGACAGGATCTGGGGGCTGTGCCCTAGGAGCAGGCTGGATGCAGTCACACTGTTTCAAAGGTTGAAAAAATACAGTCCTGTAGAGGAAAGCCAGGTGAAGCTATTTATTAGACTGCCTCAGGCCCTGCCTAGTTTACTGCCAACCTAAAAATTCCCCAGTGCTGGGAAATCAGCTTGGACCTTGTGTGCACATTGCTGCAGCTCAGCCTGCGTTCGGAGGGTGCATCTGTCTGATTTTTCAATCCCGAGGCTTGAAATGGGCTAGGGAAAAGCAGGCAGCCCTTTGGAGAGGGATAGGGGAAAATAAACAAGGAAAGAAAAACACAAGGAAACCAAAAGCGCAGGCGGGAGGGAAGGGAAAGGCAGGATTTTGTCTCGGGAAGGCGTCGGAGCCTCTGAAGACTGTCCCCGCCGTCGCCTCGCATTGCGAAAGAGCTTTTGGCTCGGTCTCGGGTGCCCCTCGGTTTTCCAAGGGATGCCGGCACGGAAAGCCTGTCCCGGGCGCTGCTCGCAGAGCGCAGCGGGGATGCCGGGGAGCCG